GTAGCCCAAATCGTCACCTCTGCTTCTAGAATGGTAGGGATCATATCACGCCTGACGCGTGATTTTCTTAATCCGCTGTGTATCATTCGATTGTTTTGTTCTTTGGTCTGTGTTAGGCGCGAGTTTTGTAGTGCCGTATGAAATACGCTGACGGTAATTCTGATGCAGCAATAATCGAAAAAGTTCAGAGATGATTTTTTCGCATTGTGTATGACAGATATTTTCAGAGCAGATGTTTTTAACTAAAAATACATCTTAAAAGAGCTTTCTCTACGCGAAGTGTCAAAAAAGAACTGCACGTGAAATTTTATCTTTAGATAAAGTGGTTCATGGGCGTGTAGATACTAATTTGTCGTCATCATTACAATTTCATGTGCCGGCTCGTGTTTCTAGATGTTCACGAATATTTTATCCATCTATTGAAGCAAAACCGGCAGCATTAATAAGAATGCAGAACTGCTTGAATCACCTGTCACGTCATGTTGACGTATTTTCAGATGTGTCTGTTTTTAAAAGGGAGCTTGAGTTGCAACTTTTTGGCTCTTAATTTGCATGGCATTCTCGTCGAATGTGATTATTAACCTGGACAGCTATTATCACGAAAACACGATTACACGACAAGATATCGGATGACGAGATAATTCCTGGCAGTTATGACATTGTTCGGAAAGATCAGTGTTCTAAGGGAGGGGGGGGGGGGGGGTAGCCACTGTAATAAGAAAAGGCATTGTTTTTTCTGAGATAGAAGATTCTACTGACGCCGAAATGGTTTGGATTAATCTTAATTCCGGTTTTTCTAAGCTGTTAGTAGGTGCCATCTATCGGTCACCGAATGCAAGTAAGTATCGAACATATTTATGCACTTCATAGCTTTATCTGTGAGCAATCTAAACACTTTTCGAACATCATTCTCGGCGGGGATTTTGACCTACCAAACATTCATTGGGATATTATGTGCTCAAAAACCGACTGTTGTCATTCCGAGGCACTTCTTGACACATCGTTTGCTTAGAATATCACACAAATAGTACACGGACCCACTAGAGTGACTAAAGAAGTCAGTTCAATACTTGATCTTATTTTTCTATTCCAGAAAGTGACTCTGTCTGGAAATTGTTGCGAGATCGTACCGGGAATATCAGACCATCATATGATTTGGCTGAAGTGTTCTTCCGTTCCGAGCCCAAACGTGTAGGCGTCTGTTAATGTTTCGGGATTTTAGCAGGGCGCAGGACGTCGGCATTTTGGACTTACTAGACCAATCTTACGATGAATTTCTTAACTTGGTGGGGGGGGGGGGGGGGGGGGTAGCGAAAGTGATGTGAACATAAAAGATTTACGGGATTTTTTAAGCCATTAGCACTTATCCCCCTATTGGAAAAACCAGCATGAAAATCAAACTGGTCAAGCTGGTAATTAAGGTGGTCAAGCTGGTAATCAAGGTGGTCAAACTGGTCAATGTGGTAATTAAACTGGTTTAGCTGGCAATCAAGCTGGTTTAAGCTGGGCAAGCTGGAATTTAAGCTGGTCAGTCTGGTCTAAGTAAAAACCAGCATCGTCCAACTGGAATCTGGTTTTAGATTCAATCTGGTGTAGCTGGGAGCCAGTCTGGTCCTAACTGGTTAAGCTGGTGTTCCTGCGAGCCAAGGTGGTCAAGCTGGTTTTCCTGGGAGCCAATGTGGTCAAGCTGGTTTTCAGCAGGGAGCCAATGTGGTCAAGCTGGTTTTCCTGGAAGCCAATGTGGTCAAGCCGGTTTTCAGCTGGGAGCCAGTGTGGTCAAGCTGGTTGAATTGGGAACCAATGTGGTCAAGCTGGTTTTCAGCTGGGAGCCAATGTGGTCAAGGTGGTTAAACTGGTCTTCCTGGGAGGCAATGTGGTCAAGCCGGTTTTCAGCTGGGAGCCAGTGTGGTCAAGCTGGTTGAATTGGGAACCAATGTGGTCAAGCTGGTTTTCAGCTGGGAGCCAATGTGGTCAAGGTGGTTAAACTGGTCTTCCTGGGAGGCAATGTGGTCAAGCTGATTTTCAGCTGGGAGCCAATGTGGTCAAGGTGGTTAAACTGGTCTTACTGGGAGGCAATGTGGTCAAGGTGGTTAAACTAGTCCTCCTAGGAGCCAATGGGTCGGCTGGTTAAATTGGTCTTCCTGCGAGCCAGTGGGGTACGTCAAGCCAGTTAAACTGCTCTTCACGCCAGCTTACTTATCACTAAAACAGAGCTGCCTAGCTGGCAGTCCCACTGTCGGCCAACAAAACAAAATATATCCATTTGTAACCTTGCGCGTGTCTTCTTAAGTGACGCAAGCTGTTTTGCCATTTGGTGACTATATTGAAACGGAATAATGACTGCTAACAAGCTGCACTTTCCGTGTCTCTGAGAAGTGTTTTGGTTCGTGCTCTAGTGGGACGAGGCCATAATAGTTATGACCTATACCGACATCAAGCCGTTTAAGAGTCTGAATGAAAAGCAAGGTAGTTTTAATAGAGGAACAAAATATGTGAAGCAGAAACCTAGTGTTTGAAATATGGTGAAATTTTAGTTATAGATCTCACACTGCATTTTTAGGGTGCCGGGGGGCGGGGGGTATATGCCTTTGTTGTAAAGCAATATGATTCACCTGACATTAAAAAAAAACAAGCACCGACTGCAAAATGAAGAAAAGGTGTATTGTTTAAATGACAAAACCTTTTATTATGCCACTTATACACATTAAACGATCAAATATGAATTTAGGTCGACAACCAAATGTATATATGGCTGATTCCTCCTATAAGTATTGATTGACAAAGTACACGATCAGAAATTCACTATTTAAAACAATAAATGCGTGCACAGCTCTCCCTCAGTGGCGAGTGAAACCCGGTTGCAACTCCAAAACTTCACACGTGACCTTCCCATCGCCGGCAGTAGAAAAACCAAGCTGCTTTCCAGATTGATTGTTATTATCGCTTTCCACCCATCTCACGGTTGAGTACCACAAGGATCTGTATGAGACTAAGTGATTTATTTATTTGCATTAATGGAACCAATGACATGGTGATCTTTACACAAAGCACATTTATTGACCCCAAAAACCACAACAGACCAAAAACCACATAAACTTCTGCACACGCTCAATCATTTTAACTTGTATTAACAACTAATTGAACCCAATTCAAGTACTGAGCGTACAAGGCTACAGAACAGACACACTACAGATATTGGTGAAGTGAAAGAACTTGATAACCAAAGTGATCATTTCCAACTTCTTATCTCTAATCCAAGGATCTTAGAAACGTGTGCAGTGAATTTGTCAATATAGACGCCAAGGTCTCTTACTAGAGATACAGCATCTACCACATTTCCCTCAAGCACATAAGGGTAAAAGAAAACTTCCCACTTTCTCTATAAAGAAATCAATTTAGCTTTTAAGATTGAACGACAAGGCTTTTTTTCTACACCACTCTGAAATTGCACCAATATCAGTTTGCAATAAAGTACAATCAATATGGTCTTTAACATTTAAAAAGAGTTTCATGTCATCAGCAAAAAGAAGTACATTTGAGTGCTTGACGCATGATACTGTATTGTTTACAAACAAAATAAACAACAGTGGTCCCAGGTTTGAACCTTGGTGTACGCCAGAAGTTGATCTACAACACTTCCAAAAAGTTGCCAACATAAACAGTATTACTATGTAAACTCAGGTAGCTCCTGAACCATTCACAAAGCTTTGGGCACATGACATAAAAAGAAAGTTTGCAAAGGAGTAAAGTATGATCTACACAGTCAAAAGCCTTTGACATGTCAAAATATACAGCATCAATTTCGCCTCTGTGACTATCGGCACAAAGAAATCTAGAAAAGAGCACAAATCTCTTTCAACGGACTTTCCCTTTTAAAAACCATGCTGAAAAAGACTAAATTTTTTTACTGAGGTAATTTGAGATCCAGTTATGCATAACCATTTCGAAAACCTTCGGGAAACCACACAATAACAAAACGGGACGATAGTCACTAATAATGACAGATCACCAGCCTCGAATATGGGCACAACTATAGAAGACTTCCACAAATTAGAGAAAGTACCCCTCATGAGAGGTGCTTTGTATGTTTGAACAATGTTTGCTTCAATGATATAAAATGCCCTTCAAATTTGGAACAGAAATGCACTAGAAGGATATGTATGTTCTACCTAAGCTTCAAGAAAAGTACAAAAATGTTCTAACAAACCAAATACAGGGTTTAAAGGAAAGAAAAAATGAAAGCCAGTTTTTCGGCCCACATGATGAACAAACTGTGCATCGCAAAAAGCGGAAAGTCCACCAAAATGATGCTATCAGTAAGATAGGATGTGATGAGCACTTTCAACGTTAAAGGGATGCAGAAGCGAAATTTTGATTTCAGAAAACAATGCAGAAGCACTAGGCGGGAAGCTACAAACCCGAAAGCGTCACCCATAAATCATTATCTGCAATGGATGGTCGTATTTTTGCGAAAGAAGAGCTCGCTTGAACAAGGCCAAAAATGCCCACGACGTTGCGATTCTTGTTACCTCCTCTCTTCGGTTTGACTCCACGAGGACACAAAGAGGGAAGGAAGCGAGGCCGTTTCCCCTCCTCCTTAACTGTTCTGCAGGAAACAAGATGTCGCAATTCTCACTCAATCGCATCCTTATTTTACAAAAATATGGCCATCCGTTTCGGATATCTCTTTATGAGTGCTGTTTTGGGGTTTGCGGCGCCCCGTCGAACACTCCTGCTACATTATTTTGTGATATCCAAATTTCGCTTCAGCATCCCTTTAAAGGGATACTTCAACGAAATTTGAAATGTATCCGTCGTGTTCAAAAATAGGTTGAATATGATCCACAATATCCGTAAATGACAATCGCACGTTTGTATTTTGAGCCTGGTGGCTGTACTGCCCACTCTGGCAAGCGCTCGGAGAAGGCCCAGCGGAGACTAGTGACATCTAATGCAATCGTGACGTAGGTCGTCTCGGGACGAGCAAGGCTGATGTCGAGAGGATGGCCTAGTCGTTCCAGCAACCAAAGCAGCTGCTTTTGTATGAATTTTGAGTGACGGGTTAATCTTCTACAATCTTGTAGGGAGACAATAGCTACTTCTTGAACGTACAAAAGGGATTCTCGGGAAGAGGGGAGTTCCTCCGTACCCCCTTCTCTCATCGTGGCCGGAGGCGAGACACTGACCGTCACTAGCTGTCAAGGTTCCTAGACGTGCATTACAAACGAGGTGTTAGCGACTCCACCAGGTGCCTTTTGCTAATCATTTAATTTGTTTTAAAATTCCATTTCGTAACTTTTTTAACAAGATATTGGTGTGTTCGATGTGATACTGCTCCTTTGAACACATATAGACCTTAAAATAAGCACCGAAATTTCCTTGTAGTATCCCTTTAAAATCGTAGCACAGCTCCTTTAAATTTGAGCAGTCTTCACGACCACCAACAAAGAATTCGCACAGATTCCCAGCTTTCCGCATTGCCCAGCCCGTCTATGCAAAACACAAAAAAACTGGCATTCATTTTCTCTCACAGACCCTCTAGAGTCAAGGCTAATCACGCTCTATTGTGTTCGGCAAGTCGCAAATGAATGACTTGCTGTCTGTAGGAAAATCAACATAAACGCAACTGCTCTTGAGGTTAGCAGGTTCAATACAGCTCACAGTGTCAACTTCAGAAAGGAAACACTCCTTAATATGTTCTGGTAGATACTGTGATTGCCTCAGCACAACACTCCTGCAAAGAAGGATGCAGTGAGTGCCACTTGAGGACTTTAGTTCCAAGATTTTTAAAATCCTAAAGTAACTATGGTCGTACGTGCACACAAAAGTTGTGTCACTTTTAGTTGCCCTCGTGTAAGCAGTGCTGTGGTAAACTTGGTGGTTCACAACACACCTCTCATACTCCGTCATACAGTTAATCGAAGCTCTACAGTGCTGCTCCAGAGCAACCTTTTCGTCAGTGGTGACACTTGCTGCACGCCCACAGCCAAGCATGGTTGCTTCCTCCACGTGGGAGGCGTTCTGAATGGGCATATAGCCCAGAAAGCCGTGGCAGATTTTTTCTACCCTGTTGGGTAGATGATGGCTGGCAAGCAAGAGCTCCAGCTCCTGCGCCATCACGACCCGCTCCACGACCTGCTGGGGCAGTCCTTTAGCAGCAGATACCAGGTTCACCAGTGTGCCATTGCCACCCTCAAAAACGAAGGCCGAATGGGCCCAGAGTGGTCCAAGGTGGCGCACACAGCCGGCCAGATGGAGCAGCAGGTGCATATTGAAGGTCATGGCCCCTATCCCATAGAGGGCCTCGACGCGACACACGAACGCGTTTAGTAGTTCTTCTGTAAGAGCGGTTTAGACGAAAGGTCAGTGCCAAGCATACCTGGTTCAGATTGCCAATGTCATTTTAATAAGCTATAATGTGAATTCGCAGGTGGATTATCATACCTCTTCTACACATTCCATTAGAAGGCTGCACTAAACAAACACCTGCAGTTTACTGTTCGCAATTTTAAGTGCGCAACAAGGCAGTGGCGCTGCTGCGTGGCTCATAATGATATCTTCTTGCGTGATGCAGCAGCCGCCATCGTCGAGCCGAGCACACGTTGTAGGCAAAGTCCCAAATTATCAGGTCATCACCAGAGTGCCCACCATGAGTACTTCGCTGTGGTACTGCAGCCACAAAACCATGATGAAGCAGATTTGTTCAGTGAAAATTCAGAGAGTGCATGTTTAGAACAGCTGCACAATGCCGAGGGTACTCACTAAAGGCTCGTTCACATTCTTGCAACCGAGTACGACCGAGAGAGACCAGACCGGTTTTTAAGCCTCTTGAGACTTCTTAAGACCGGATGCACTGCAGCGGAGCTCGTCCTAAGAGATCGCAAGAGGCTTAAAAACCGGTCTGGTCTTTCTCGGTCGCAAGTGTGAATAGGCCTTAAGGCTCTCGTGCAGCTAGGAAAGAGGTCATTGTCGCTATGTACTCAGCAAAATACAGGCAAAAAATGGCAAGAAAATCTCAAGCTGAAGCAGTTCAAACCTTGCATGTGAATTTTTGATCCAGCTGTGCCGACCATTCAATTATACCACTTTTTCATCATGCATGTCTGACATTCAATTCACAACAATCAAAATTGGAATGTTATTTAAGCATACTAACAATCTGTATCAAGAGTCCTATAAAATTTGTGTTGCTCATGGCATGCTTGGAGATGGTGTGAGGAGGTTGTCTTACATAGTTTCAAATACTGTGAACGTAATAATTTTTGAGGAAACCTAATGTTCTGAAATCTCAAGATTTGAAAAGTATGACAAAAAAATTTATTGCATGTATACATACATCACCCCCCTCCCTTTCCCCATCAATACAAAATTTTCTGCCTGCACAATTTTTCCAGAAACCTACACTTTGCAAAATTTGTGAAACAAAGCCCTCGAAAATAAAGCTGTTTAGAAGTGTTGGCTAGATGGCAAGGCTTCAACTAAATGCTTGTTTTTGGGAGCTCACCTGCACGCTTGATGTCACGGAGCGTAAGGCTGTCATGCAGCAAAATGTGTACAGCCTCACAGAGCTTGGAGAGGTGCTTCCAGTAGAGTTGGGGAAGGACATCCAGCAAGCATGGCAGTGCATAAAAAAGGAGCCACTGCTTCCACTCTGACGCCTTCCAGAAGCCACGCTCCTCAATGGAACGAGGCAGCCTTGTTATACAGTGGGGAGGCTTGATGCTTCGTAGTCGCTTGTCTACCTTGACAACAGACGCACGTGTACCTGCAAACCACATTTAAACTCTTCAGTGATTAGAACACCTAGCTTCATAAAGGAGTTCTTAGAAAAATTGATTTCTTAGATCTAGACAGTAAATTTGAATAAAATATATTACGAAAGCACGTTTATGACAAATTTTGCAGCGTTCTATTGAAAATGAAATTCAGCATATCATTGTAGTGCAACAGGTACTGTAGTTCCTCCAGTATTTTATGCTGGGCAATCTAAGGAATTCTATGGTTTTTTACGGGCCTGAAAAAACCTCACAGGCAGCCACCGAACAAGGTAGGTTCTATGAGGAGCAAGTACGTCTGCTCCACAAACGGGGTACAGTGATGCCCTGGCGCCGAGCTCCGATTAAATGACAGGGGTACACATAAACGCTGCGTCGTCTCCTAATCGTACGAATGACTGTCATGTCCTTTTAGCAGCCGTCGAAACTCCATTGGTTCTTTGTGAACAAGGGCTCGTCCTTTGAAGGAGGGGGAGGAGATAGTTCGAAGGGTATACTCATTTTGTCGACTAAGAATGACCAGGTGCACCACAAGGACCACAAAACCCACGGATCAGATGTTTCTTTACCAACCAGATAGAATGCTGTCTAGTGGGCAGAGTTTCGTTGCAATTGTGATCACTCCCTCTTACTTTTTCGTGGCTTTGTAATGTTGAGAGAAGACTCCTTTAGGCTCGTTCACACACTTGTAACCAAGTATGACCGAGAGAGACGAGACCGGTTTTTAAGTCTCTTGCGACATCTTAGGACCGGATGCGCTGCTGCGGAGCTGGTCCAAAGACGTCAGAAAAGGCTTAGAAACCGGTCTGTCTTTCTCAGTCATACTCGGTTGCAAGTGTATGAACGATGTTTTACTATTCCATGCCTTCCCTCTCGCACGCAACGTGACACATTTTCGTTGAATTGCTTACTACACAGCAGATAAACACACTGGTGCTGCAGCAAAAATATTGGGTGAGATTGATGTTGCAACGATTCTCAAAGCCCTGTGTCGTTTAAAGGGATGCTGAACCGATATTTGAAATCTTATAATTAGTGCCCGAGCGGGCTTCACGGAATGGTACTGTACCTAAAAACGATATTGAATCCGACGGATGGGGCCCGAATTATTGTATTTCTTTGAATTAAGAGCGAATCCTCGGCCGGAAGCCGCCGGCGCGAGCGAGTCCTTCTGAGAGCAGGCGTAGCGGAACTGACGTGCGCATTCTCGGCGCCCCCAGCGCCCCTGGCGCCTCCGCGCATTCTCCTCGTTCGTTGGTGCTCGCCTTGATTCTTCGCTCGGCGGCTGTTCTCAAAGCGGCTGGGACTAGTACCACGCGGGCAGAGCAGACAGAGAGAGAGAGGAGGAGTTTGGAAAGGAAGAGATAGTCCTGTAGACTCACTCGAATGGGAGTCGTGCTAACTATCTTTGGGGGGAGGGGGAATGGGAGTGAAAGATGAGCAGAAAGAAATGAGATTAGATAGAGGTCGGGAAGCGGTCTTCCGGATGCGAGAGGGGGGGGGAGGGGGGGCCGAGGACACAGAATTCACGGGCACACGCGGGCGGGCACGCGGATGGGGCTCCGGCGCGGGGTGCGCGGCGGAGGCACGCGGTCACTGCAGAGTCGGGGCAGAGACATCCGAGTCATTCTCAGGCTCGGCGGACGTCAGGGAGGGCGGCGGAGGTACGCGATCATTCCGGGAGTGGGAAGAGTCAGCCGAGTCGCTCACAGGCACAGCGCATGTCAAGGGGGTGCGGCGGAGGCACATGATCACTCCAGGAGCCCGCGTGGTACTAACAATAACAAACGCCACCCGACTTAGCGCCTGGCTTGGCTTGGCTCAGTCTGTCTTTTGAGGCGAATGAGAATGCGCACGTCACGAAGCGAGTTTTCCACGACGCTCACCAGGGGTCGCGTAAAATTGTATTTTTCGTGTTTATTCAATTTTATACGCCTCCTCGCTCAAAACAACACCATTTAGAAGTAAAGGACATGCTATGTATGCCATTGCGACCAAGAATTTCCACCCAAAATTTCGGTTCAGCATCCCTTTAACAAAATTAAACATAAAAAAAAAAAGCCGCCTGGTAGCATTGTTTTCTCGGTTACCAAGCGGCGTCGGCAATGAGCAGTAGATCGACGGAAACCTTTCTTAAAGACCGCATTCATGTCTAGGGACACAAATGGACTGCTGATACTGCTAGATGACAGGTTAAATGGGAGTAAGCACGAATGACATTTGAGAAATCTTGAAATCAGCTCGCGATCCCAGTTTGGGGTGTCATGCTTGGCAGCGGCAGGCACTGGTTTGTCTATTATAAACTGTCATTCGGCACAATATTGCCGCGCTGAGGGCCGAGCAAACAACACTCTGTCACATAGTTCTAAAAGATTCCCGTGTATTCTACTCGAGGCGTAACTTTTACCGTTTCATCTTTGTTTCTCGTTCTAGAAAGTGCCTGTTCATTCTCGCCCTGAGCCCGCGACGCTCGAAGCGGCCCACAACCTTGTTGAATCAGTCTTACTTGGCATGTGAGTGGTACGAGGACCTCCACCAGAAATGCCACGAATGAAGGTGACGAGAGGACTAACAGAAACGTTCTCAGGGCAAAGAATGCTCTGCCGGGGTGCATCTACTGCTCAACTTTCTCTACAAGTGCGCTCGTTGCCGCGGACGTCATTGCTCAGAATTGAGCGATTGCTTCCAACTTTTCAAACACTCGGCGACCGTGCAAACTACACATCTCTACAAGTGCGCATTGCGCAGTTGCCGAGCGTTTGGAAAATTTCAAGCAATCACTCGATTCTCGGCAATGACGTCCGTGGCAACAAGCGCGCTTGGAGAGGAAGTTCGGCCATTCATTCATTGTGACAATATCATTTGGAATTCCCATGTGAATGAGCTAATAGATGAGGCAAGAATTAAATACCCGGGCATTAACAACCTTGCAAAAGGCTTGCACATCATCTATCAATTTTCCTAGCTGCCAGATGGTGACACATGATTGAATGCTGTTTGACAATGACAAACTCTAAGGTTTTTGTTTCGTGCATGCTATGGCATTGTAACAGACACGTTAAAACGGTTACCGATGTAGTATGCCTGTCGTGAGCTTGTCGATGAAAAGAGGAGCTCCGTGACTTGTCGCACCACCCCTTGCAGAACACAATGCATGTATTCCACGCTCATGCCAGCAACCAAGTCGAAACCTGAGCAAAAACGATGTCAGGTAGGTTTTGACATGACACATTCCACACACACAAATTACCTTCAAGGTTCATGAGAGGTGATGGACCCTTGATACCATTTACAGGGCTCCCCAGCCTCTGGGCGAGCTCCATGTCTCGAACAACAAGCTCCGATGTCCTCGGAATTGGGGCTTCATCGGCGACATAGCGCACGCATCCTGCAAAAAGAAAGCAAAGTATTTAACTGATCAACCATTGCGACCTGATCAATGATATCTTCCTTGATTAGCAGGCAAAAGTGTATATCTGCAAAAGAATGAAAATTATATGTACCTTCCTCGTGCTCGCCTTTCATCAAGCAATATGGGCAGCCGAAGAACCCATTGAAAGAGACCATGTTTTGCACGGCAGCACGGGCAGGGGTATCAACGCTGCAGCACAGTACAAAGGCTTTTGAAGTGAGCTGCTGATCTCCATGGATCCATGTCACAGGGGCCATAGTGTTGACTTCCTCCACAAACTTGGTCAGAAAAACCGACATGTCTGGATGGCGCTTCCCAAACCAGAGTCCAGCCAATGTAGGGTGGTGCAAGCGCACTGCAGGGGGTAGTTCATTTACTGTAAATTGAATCGGCCACACTGACGTCTTCGAGGATTTGAAGATGGGGCTCCCATCAGTGTTGAACGTGATTGTTAGGTCACTCGGACCTAAGGCAAGCTCTTGGCGCAAGTGCTTGCAAGCTTCGGCTGTTGTAATGTCCGTAATCAAATCAGAGTCATTGAGTGCTAGCATTGACAGCGAATGATGAAGCTCGACACTTGTTTTTCCAATTAGGTGCTTGAGCTGCTTGTGGAGGTCGAGCATCAAGAAATATGACCCACCATGTCTTAGCTTCTCAGTGGACTCCTCAAAATTGCACACATCGCATCGTGCAATCGAATCGCTTGAGTTGAGGACCGTGTCACAGCATGGGCACAGATAATGGTACTTCACCAAGTTTTCCTTTTTTTTCGTCCACAGCTTCCTCAGCTTGTAGATACTTGTCGGCAGAACTGCGCTGCCAAACAAGGCATTCACAAGTGTCAATAGCTTGCCGAGCCCGGCCCACGTCGATCTCTCCGAAACGGCATACGATATAACCATCGCGATGGCGCCAGCTTTCGACGTTGGTGAATGCGGCAGCATACTAGCACCAAACTCTTCCACGCACAGGGTCAAGAGATCTTCGATGGACCCAGGTCCCATCTCCTCGTCGTCGTCGTCTTCAGAGATCACGGCTTCTTCGAGAGACTTCTCTCTCGACACCTCGCCGTCAGGGTGTTCATCATCAGTGCTGTCCCCTCCGTCATCAGCTTGGTCTTGCGATGCATGCTCACTGTCGGTGGAGACATCTCCGACGTCGACTCCATGGCAGTCTTGGGCGTCATCTTCGTCAGTATCTACAGGGTCATCACGGTAGGCTCCGTGGCAGTCTTCGGCGTCATCTTCGTCAGTATCTACAGGGTCATCACGGTAGGCTCCGTGGCAGTCTTGGATGTCGTCTTCGTCAGTACCTAGAGGGTCACTACGGTAACCTCCGTTCTCTCTACCTTCGTCGCCGTCAAGCGGTTCCGTAACTACAGAGGTGCCAGCGTTAGCCCCCTGACCCACAAGCGTCTTCTGGAAACGTAAGGTTGATACCGGGATGAGGTAAGGCTGGTCTGCGTCTAGGTACCGCTTTCGTCGTTTGCCAGGAGTAGCCATGTCATAAATATTTCGGTCGCCAAACGTAGAATACGAAGGATATCAGTCAAGAAGTCTGCCGGACTTACACACAAGCCCACAAGCACAAGGATTGGCTAGATGTTTGATGACCGCTAAATAAAAAAAAATCCCTCCGCCGCAAAGAACGTCGCGACTCGCGAACACCCAATGATTTGAAGTAGTCTTCCGGAGTTCCGGATTTCAGAGAAAAGAGTCAACTACAGTCACCTCCTTCGTTCAAAAAACGCCACCAAAAGATTTCTGTGAGTGCTGACACGTTTAGGAGAAGGGTGACTGGAGGTTACGGTCACGTGCCTTCCCGAAGAGCGCATTGCATTTGTTTTCTTCCTTCGCGACTCGAATGCGTCCCGTTTATTGTTGTCTTGTTCCGCCTTTCTGAAGCACTACGGCCGTCATTAGTAGAAATAAATATTATTTATTGCTATTACTGTCACACTGCTAACAACTTTTTTTTCCTCATTGCTTTTTTTTTATTTTTTTTTTTTTATGTGGGTTGTTTGGCTTTTACACCTGACGTCAGATTCGATTCGTAGCCTCGTCGGCATGGCCGTGTGCCGTGTTCCAAAATTTACTCGACCTTACTCCAGGCCCCAGGATAAGTGCTTGGTACCTTGGCGTTCCCAAACTTACCCGCATTCAGCGCTTTACAATCTGTGTTGTCACGTGACACGACCCGCCTAAGTAATGCGGATCCAAGACATTGAACGCAGCCCATGTTGGCGCGTCGTCTGCTACGCCGTGTATGCGCGGAGGCAGTGTTTCTCGAGCTCATTCGATTTAGGGTGCCTACATGTGCCCGCCGCACCGGAAACATGTAGGCACCCTTGTGACCCTGAGTTGCAGCCTCATAGAGGATAAGAGCGCAAAAGAAGAACAGGACAGGACAGAGCCTGTCCTGTCCTGTTCTTCTACTTGTCCGTATCTTTTTGCGTTCTTGCAGCCCAGCAGTTAATTCTGTTGCAGCCTTCCTGGCTTCGATCTGCCAGCTTTCGGCCAAGGCAGCGGCTACACCCGAATAACACTTAGGCGTTGGGCTCCGTGTAGCAGCGTCCGAGCAACGCCCGAGTCCACGACCGCTCAAACTCCGGCGCTTTACCAAGACAACGCCGCCACACCAAAACGAAAGCCGCAGGCGCAAGGTGCGTTCGAAAAGTACGTAGCGATGGCGGAACGGCGCTGTGTTGTGACGTCGGTGCAGGGACCCCACCCACTCCGTTCGGATAATGCCAATATCTTTTGTGAGTGTGAGTGGCGGTGCGGGCGGGCGTGACTCAGGAGGGGGTGACTGAGAGTTGCTTTCACGTGCCCTTACTGAGAACGATTACATATGTCTTTCGGCACAAACCGAACGCATCACGTTCGCTGGTTCTGCTTCTGTGTCGTGTATCGATCTCTGCTGCTCTGCTTGCTCTTTCTTCAACGTGTTTCGGTGGTTTGTGTTCTTTTTCTAAGATAGGAGGCTGTAGAGTAGATGCACGCATATGTAAAATTTACGGACGGTTGGCAGCTGATATTGCCAACGTCTTTGATCAGAAGCTTCTCGCCCCGAAATGACGAAGACTTCGACGCCACCCGGATATACGAGGCCTACTGGGTGTCGGACTGCGGCGATGAAGAGGATTATTACGATGCTCACGTGCTCCTTCTGGGCGGTAAGTTTTTTTGTTGTTTTTTTTTCCTAGGGAATGGAGGCATCTTTTGGGGTGCGAGCTTGGTCAGATATGCTTGATCCGCACAACTAAGAGACCCGTTTCGTCACTCGGCTAAGCTACGCCTGTCGGGCCGCGACTGCCAAAAAGAGAAAAAAAAAAAAAAGGCTTACCAGAGTTAGAATTTTTATTGTTTTTTTTTGTCCACTCGTATGACAAGTAAAGTTCTCGCGCTCGGTCCTGCCGCGCTCACGCACAGATCATAGCTTTCCTGGTATTTTGCGACATGTCAACTAAACTGATATTTACAAAATTCGGTTCATATTTATTTTATCTTTTTGGAAAAAAGCATGTTTAAAAAATCAGATTTATGTTTAATATATGTATATATATTCCGCAGAGTCTGTGGATGGCCTCCTGAAGAAAATGCAGACAAAACGGTACCCCATTCCAAGGATTGTCGGTGGAACAGCAAAGCTCGTAGGACCAGTAGGAAAGGCAAGTTTTGCCTTGCTGTGCCACTTTTCCTTGAACCAATTGTAAAGATTCATTATCCGATAGAGATAATCCAACACATCCACTCGAAAAACAGTTCAAGCCTTAAAAAAAAGCAATCGCATTTTTAGAGTGCTGTTTTACGGCGCTCCAACCAAGTGTTCAAGTGCTGCCCGACAAGTACTGCTATGGAGCGTTCAAGTGCCTTCGTTTAGCGATTAACATCATATTTTAGTGTAGTTCAGCCGAAATTAGCACGCTTACATGATCTCTTTCTTTCCTGATAAACTAACCATAGTTATTTCGGATTTTATTTTCGTGCATTGAAAATGATATCAGAAACCCCCAAAAATGACATATTTAGCTCGCTGTGGCGGTGCAGTGGTTAGCAGGCTGAGCAAGCAATGTGTTTTACTTTATGGAAGTCCAGGTTCAATATTGCATATCACAAGTAGATTTTTATTTTCAAAAGGATTTTTTTATTTTTGTCTCCAACTTCTGCGGCCCTGCATCGCAATACAAAGAATAATATACCTCACTACCGCAACATTGCTTGATCTGCACCTAATGGTAAGATAAAGCAGTGGTAAGCCTCTGATAGGTCATATATTGCAATAGAAGTGTGGTTTGTGTTGGAAAGCGTTCTGACCTTGCCCCTAAATTTCCGCTCATCAGAGCTCTCCGACTGCTAGTGCTTGGAATGTTGACAAAATTTGAATCAGCGAAGTTCAGTCTACAGAGGCAGTGGCCTCTGCAATTCGCAGAATGTGACGGCGCACTGCCCCTGTAAAGACTTTGGGTGCCACTTGAACTATCCTGTGGAGAGCCGTTAGACGGCACTCTAGGCACTGCAAAGAAAGGGGTCAAACTTAACAATTTTATTTATGAATAATTACTATTACACTTTTTTTTAATATTTGCTCATAGTAGCTTGTTGTAGTCAGCATTTTTTTTAACAGTAAAAAACAAATGGCACCTTTTTAATGAAATCAGCTCGGTTTATTATTTTTTGAAGTGGATTATCCTGCGGTCTGCCGGCATAATAACTAGGGGGAAAAAAATACCGGCAGCTGCCCCCTATTGGGTCTCGTATAAAACAAATTATGAAGACTATTTGAAGCTGTAGAGTAGCTCACTGATAAGGTGTCTGTCTCGTACGCAGCAGGACCCTGAGTCAATTGTCAATGAGGGATTATATGATGCTTTTTTTTAGGCATTTGACGATATCTGCAGCATTTCTTTTTTACAATTAACACTGAAAAATCTAATGTTGTCGACGAAACTTCGCTGAGTTAAATGGAATGGGACTGCCTTTCCTGGGGTGAATGGAGGACAGCGATACTTGTACTGCCGGTGGACAGGTGGGCCAATAGTGTTAATATTTTTCTAATGAGCAGCTGCAGACTGTGATACATGCGCCGTTCGAGTGATAAACACGCCGTCCGCTCCCCAGTGATACACGCGCCGTCCGAAACTGGCGGCATTTTTTTTTCCCCGGGCTGTTTTTCATTTACCCCCGGGAAGGGTGCAGTGCTATACCATTTAATTCAGCGAAGTTTCATTTGCAACATTACATTTTTCCTGTGTTAATAAAAAGAAAAGAAAAAAAATGCGGTAAATATTGCAAAAGCCCCCCCCCCCCCACCAAAAAAAAAAAGTTTGAGAAAAAGAAAAAATAAGCCCACACTGCAATTGAACCAGGGTCCCAATATGTGTGAGATAGACACCTTACCAGTAAGCTACTCCACAGCTTCAAATAGCCGTTTTCTCAATTAGTTTTATATGAGACCCAATAGGGGACAACTGCCGGCATTCTTTTCCCAGGTTATTGTGTCCCCTGCCGGCAGAATATCCACTTCCTTTTTTTTTAGCGATTACAAACCTTACTTCCTTACTGAGCGAGCCTTGATATTTTGTCTGGGGCTGTTAGCGGTTGAGTTGTATAAATTTTAGATTCCTTCTCTTTGCATTCAGAAAGTCCAAGACCTCGGTCACAAGGAGAAGAGAAAACAAAAGGAAATCGGAAAGAAAACAAGGCTGCATGACATTGCCGCTGATTTCAGGAAAAAGCAGAAGGTATGAAATTGCGCCAATATAAGTTGGAAGTGTCTAGAGTTCCTTCCAGATGGAACAATAGTCGCCACTGAAGTTCTGTCTGCACTGAAGGAATGATAGCAAACAGTGTAGAGTTCCGTCGAAGCGGAACTATAAACTGAGCAACGGGGGTACTGCTGCCGCAAAGCGGCGTGTAAGGTGGGTCAGGGGAGTTACATTTTTGTAATGAGCCGCCACATACTGTTGCTGCGAAGCAGCGTAAAGAGGTGGACCGGTTAGGTTGACACGCACGTTTCATCGACACTGAATAAAAAGCCCTACGAAGATCACTTCGGAGACTGGACATTGGCAGTTTAGACGGAACTCTAGCGGTGACTATCGTTTTGTCTGGACGGAATTCTAGCCACAGCCATACAGGTTTCATTATTTAGGCAGTTGATTAAAGTCAGCAAACACACACGTTTTTGCCCAGATCAAGCAGACGGAGACACCCAGCCGCTACCAGAGTGACATGGTACCCATCACTGTCCTCAGGGAAAAAGAGGAAGTTATAAAAGAACTAAAAAAAGAACTGGCCAAAGAAAGGAGCCACAGTCGGCAGCTGGCTCAGGCCCTGGCCACAAAAATTGGTGTGTATGTTTCCCCCTCTCATAGTTAACGAAAACTTTGAAAGGAATATAGTTTTTACTGCTTGCCTTCTGGTTCAATTCAAACTTCATTTTTCAGTAGTTGCCGCAGGAGAGAGTAGAGACACAGCCACTACCTCCGATGAGGGGCTTCCCTTTTATGAGTCACCATTCCTTGAGTGGGGTGAGTTGCTTGGTAATGTTGATAGGCCACTCCATTTTTTCTTACATCCATCTGTGCATCTCCTTCTATTTAGAGAATGCACCCTATCCAATGAAGGATGTTCACTGCGGCCCAGTTTCAGTGCCTTCAACTTCTGGCACAGGCAAGTTTTAACTGCTTTTCTTTATTTTGTTTTTGTTTGCCTTGTTCATTGCTAGCCATGGATGGCTCTGAGGAGTGAGAGAAAGAAATGCTCTGCAAAATGTCAGTCTACTGTAGGATAAGTGAAACACATAGATTGCATTCACGGCAGTTTGCAGCCGTGACAAGCTTTTAGCAAGATCAGAAGACTGATGTTGCTACTCAAATTACACCATATAAGCATCTCTGGGAAACGGAGGCTCCCAGAAAGGCTCCTGCAATCGGCACAATTCTCCCCAAATAAAAAAATGGCAGTTGCGTTCGCCAAGCAGGGTGCCTTTCCAGCAGGTCTCTACTTGAGCATAACCCTCCAGTATGCTCAAAGAAAATATACCATGGTTATTCACATAATTATCATCTTTATTTTGCCCGAAAATGAAGCTGCTTCCTGGGGTGCGTGACAGCTATGTGTGGCAACTTTGAAAGATAAACACAGAAATTAGGTATGGTTTGTGAAAGTTCCTGTTACTACCCTTTATGGTAAGGAAAATGAAGCTAAGATTTTTCTTACTGTGCTGGGTTCCTAAGTAGCGTCAAATCATTAACAAAGAAGATGTGGACTGAAAATGCAACCGAAACTGCATAAATTTGAAGAACCCCTTGCCTGATGTCATGGCTGTTTGCCGAGATCTTGGGTGTATCCAGAATATTATTTCTTTCCCTTTCTGACTCTGCTGATCACGTATCTGTAACATGACAGCCTGCTTCAGCTACCCTAATCACTTGGGCCGGCTCTGTGAAGCACGTGATTAAAAAGTATGCAGAATGTCTAAATACGGAACACGCCCAGTCACTTTCACGGCTTGGTTGTTCCGCGAGGCATGCCATTGAAGCACATGCTCTCATAGTTGTGCATCTCGGCAACGAGCGAACCTTTGCTCTGTGCATGCTTTCCCCTTCACCCGTGCGTCCTCTGCCTTGCATTGTCTGCTTGTTGTCGGCGACTCTGGGCTTTTGCGTGCCGTGTTCTTGGTAATTTTGAGTCAACGTCTTCTTGCCCAAGCCGACTGGGCACTTTGTCTCGTACTGCTTTCTCTCTAACTTCTTGTTGCTTCCTTTGCATATTCCGGATGCAATAAATGCACAGGGAAACAAAAATCAATTCTTTTATATACTCAATTTGAGAGTGCATTCAATACTTCGGTGCATTATAAAAAGGAAGTATTTTACAATATTTGCCTGGCCAGATTATTTCTTTTCAATCTTCTAAATTGAAAAGTGGGTCTCACGTCTCTCAAATACTACCCTACAAGGCAGCGATTGATCATTGTGCTCGCCTGTAACACATCTTTCTTTTATGTCTCCAGGATGCCCATCTACACAGCGTGCGTTGCCTGCTAAAGTACTAGTGGATCAAGCTCTGGTACCGCCAGTTGACCAAGTACTGGGTGAGTGCCACAAATACAGAAAATAAACTGACTTGCAGGGTAGGAGAGGGGCAGTGAAGGATTCTACAGTAAGCATCATTGGATATTGATGAATGGCAGGGAGGTTAAGCCTTTTTATTTGGTGCTGGCATTCTAAAATATGGTGCCTTGTCCCACATACTGTCATTGCAAGTTCCTTGTTTTGTCCATTGCCAGCAAACCAAGTGCCAACATGTCCTGCTGAGAGAGTGCAGACTGTGCCGACTCCTCCCGCAGCTCTCTTGCCAGTGGCTGACGTCCCGCCAGTCGGTCAACAACAAGGTGAGTGCACAAATGAAGAAAGGATGACCTGACTTCTAGGGGGGGGGGGGGGAGGAGGGTAAAGGGTATATCAAAATGCATTTGTGAATACTATAGGAAGACAGTTAACCATTGCACCAAACTACTCCAAGGGGCTAACCTTGCTCCATCCCGCTACATTTTGCCAAAATATGGGTAATCTACACTATGCTTGTACCAAGAAACCAATTTCGGTTGCCTCTCAATACCGAAACTAAACCGAGTACTGTAATTGAGCATGCATGTGTTATATGGCGCAAGCAGATGCCCGACACAAAGCCCCCTGCATCAATTGTCCATCCGGTCTTGCATGGTTTTCCTGCCGTCTCGCGCTCTCGTGGTCTTGTTGGTCTCGTCTCGCCTCTTTTTTTTATAAATATTTTCACGATAGACGCAGGTGTATGCGGACGCTCTGACACTAGCGTGCGTGCTGGGTAGCAGCCATGCCACATGCTGTAAAACAAAACATTTTATTTTTTTGCGGCGGGAGTTATTTTGTGAGCTGGAGCACTCGTTTATCAAAGCAAGGGTCGTGGGAAAACTATATTTTTCTAACTGCCTTTCAGTCACCGCGGCCGTGCGACGTCGGGTGTTGCCGTCCCCACCTCGCTGCAGATATGACAGCTTCTAAAATGAAATTAAGTGCCGACACATGTTCATCAACATTCCTGTCCTTGTATAAATATCCGTTACTACTGCTGTGTCAAAGTATTGATTACCTAGGTTTCTGTCGGTGGGCTTTCTTTCGTATAAAATGTACCGCAAAAGAAAGTGGGTGAAGAGAAGTGAGCTAAAGCAAAGAAGGCAAAGTGTGCACGCTGAACCCTCATAGCGCGCTTGTTTGTCGCGAGTTCAGTCGTTGCACAAAACGCTCCGTCTTGACCCTGGCTTGCGAAGTATTGCATCTATGCGCTCAGGTTCTTTTTTTCTGTGTGTGTGTGTGCTTAGCTTGTATTTTGTTTGCAGGCCTGGCAAGCGCGTGGCACCTCATTTGCCGGCTCGGCAAGCACGGGCTGCTGGACTGTTCTTTGTCGTATGCTCGACAATTAGATTTTGCATGCAATTTTTGGAATCAGTTGGCGACGGAGTGGAGTGGCATGGTTTCGGTTTCGGATCTTGAGCTCCAGGTGTTGGCAGCTGCGCGGTTCCGTAAACTTTTTGTGGGTAAACTTTGTAGATGCACTTTGTGGGTAAACTTTGTAGATGCACTTTGTCTCGTACTGCTTTCTCTCTAACTTCTTGTTGCTTCCTTTGCATATTCCGGATGCAATAAATACACAGGGAAACAAAAATCAATTCTTTTATATACTCAATTTGAGAGTGCATTCAATACTTCGGTGCATTATAAAAAGGAAGTATTTTACAATATTTGCCTGGCCAGATTATTTCTTTTCAATCTTCTAAATTGAAAAGTGGGTCTCACGTCTCTCAAATACTACCCTACAAGGCAGCGATTGATCATTGTGCTCGCCTGTAACACATCTTTCTTTTATGTCTCCAGGATGCCCATCTACACAGCGTGCGTTGCCTGCTAAAGTACTAGTGGATCAAGCTCTGGTACCGCCAGTTGACCAAGTACTGGGTGAGTGCCACAAATACAGAAAATAAACTGACTTGCAGGGTAGGAGAGGGGCAGTGAAGGATTCTACAGTAAGCATCATTGGATATTGATGAATGGCAGGGAGGTTAAGCCTTTTTATTTGGTGCTGGCATTCTAAAATATGGTGCCTTGTCCCACATACTGTCATTGCAAGTTCCTTGTTTTGTCCATTGCCAGCAAACCAAGTGCCAACATGTCCTGCTGAGAGAGTGCAGACTGTGCCGACTCCTCCCGCAGCTCTCTTGCCAGTGGCTGACGTCCCGCCAGTCGGTCAACAACAAGGTGAGTGCACAAATGAAGAAAGGATGACCTGACTTCTAGGGGGGGGGGGGAGGAGGGTAAAGGGTATATCAAAATGCATTTGTGAATACTATAGGAAGACAGTTAACCATTGCACCAAACTACTCCAAGGGGCTAACCTTGCTCCATCCCGCTACATTTTGCCAAAATATGGGTAATCTACACTATGCTTGTACCAAGAAACCAATTTCGGTTGCCTCTCAATACCGAAACTAAACCGAGTACTGTAATTGAGCATGCATGTGTTATATGGCGCAAGCAGATGCCCGACACAAAGCCCCCTGCATCAATTGTCCATCCGGTCTTGCATGGTTTTCCTGCCGTCTCGCGCTCTCGTGGTCTTGTTGGTCTCGTCTCGCCTCTTTTTTTTATAAATATTTTCACGATAGACGCAGGTGTATGCGGACGCTCTGACACTAGCGTGCGTGCTGGGTAGCAGCCATGCCACATGCTGTAAAACAAAACATTTTATTTTTTTGCGGCGGGAGTTATTTTGTGAGCTGGAGCACTCGTTTATCAAAGCAAGGGTCGTGGGAAAACTATATTTTTCTAACTGCCTTTCAGTCACCGCGGCCGTGCGACGTCGGGTGTTGCCGTCCCCACCTCGCTGCAGATATGACAGCTTCTAAAATGAAATTAAGTGCCGACACATGTTCATCAACATTCCTGTCCTTGTTTAAATATCCGTTACTACTGCTGTGTCAAAGTATTGATTACCTAGGTTTCTGTCGGTGGGCTTTCTTTCGTATAAAATGTACCGCAAAAGAAAGTGGGTGAAGAGAAGTGAGCTAAAGCAAAGAAGGCAAAGTGTGCACGCTGAACCCTCATAGCGCGCTTGTTTGTCGCGAGTTCAGTCGTTGCACAAAACGCTCCGTCTTGACCCTGGCTTGCGAAGTATTGCATCTATGCGCTCAGGTTCTTTTTTTGTGTGTGTGTGTGTGCTTAGCTTGTATTTTGTTTGCAGGCCTGGCAAGCACGTGGCACCTCATTTGCCGGCTCGGCAAGCACGGGCTGCTGGACTGTTCTTTGTCGTATGCTCGACAATTAGATTTTGCATGCAATTTTTGGAATCAGTTGGCGACGGAGTGGAGTGGCATGGTTTCGGTTTCGGATCTTGAGCTCCAGGTGTTGGCAGCTGCGCGGTTCCGTAAACTTTTTGTGGGTCACGGCACTCTTGAAGATCAGATTCCACCCTCTCCTCCACCAAATCACACCTGCTCTGTCCAGTTTGAAGTGTTCAGCAGTGTCATGATTTCCACTATCCTCCGCATAAGAAATAACCGTTTGCTTCAACTTCATCGTGTATAAAATTCTCTTCACACTGATGGTGGAGGATTTCCGCAAACCACAAATGCGCAGTGAACAGAGTATGATTGCGAGACGAACGCCGACAAACACTGCCATCCATTAAGTGATGTTGAAACCAAGCGCTAGCGACCGTTCGCGACTCCGGCGCTCGAGCTTAATGGATAACAAGATGATACCGGCATCGCCGCTCTCAAATTTCTTGCATGGGATGGGGGTGCTTACATTCGCATACAAACTTTTTTTCAGGCGTCTCGTTTGGAAAAGGTGGGGGGGGGGTGGGGGGGGGGTGCTTAGAATCGCGAAAATATGGTATTTGGTAAATATGGTAAACCTTCAGTTGAGAGTGCTTCATCTATGTCAAATTCGTCCTTATTTATTTTGTGCTTTCCTACTAACAGTATAGTTCAACCCATTTTTTGTCAAAAAAGGAATGGGCATTTCCTTGGTATATTACGATACATATAAAAGTAAGCGCTTGTTAATTATATATCTTATTACTTGAATGGGTGCTCTAATGCAATTGGGGACAATACATAGTGTACTCGGTTATCAAGTGTATCCCACGGTAATGCTGTTCCGTCTTACTTAAGATAACATCTGTGTTACAGGACTTCAGCTGCCAGTGCCTGTTTTGGACAGGGAAGATCCCACACCACCGGCTTTTTCTGAGGAAGATGGCATGGTAGGCAACCACATTGTTCTATTGTTAGCATTTTGTGTTGCATCATTGTAAACTTTTTTATGCCTTTAGAAGCTTCTTGCTGTTACAAAGTACTAAGTTAATGCTATAAAATATTCTCATTCACAGTCACGTTTGAAAGTAAACTGAATGCTCATCAATTGGAGTCGCTGCAAGTGGGTTCACTAGTCACACTGGTCGAGAGTGTTAAGAGCCGTTCACACATTTGCAACCGAGTACGACCGAGAGAGACCAGACCGGTCTTTAATCCTCTTGCGACATCTTAGGACCAGCTCCGCTGTAGCGTATCCTGTTCTAAGACGTCTTACTGGGTCTTACTCGGTCGCAAGAGTGTGAACGGGCCTTTAGGAGTCTCGGGAGGACTAGTGGCATCCGAGAAGAGTGTGTTTACTACGAAATCTGGATTTCGGCTATTCGAACCTGCTGTTGTGTGTACAGTGAAGTCTAGCGGTCTGGTTTGGTGCATATGTGACGTCGGTACGCTCGACTGAATGAGCCTGTTGTGGACCGACAACTCTCCGAAGACAAGCTTCATGGGGATTCACTCCTGCCATTGGCGTACCACTGTCAACATTGAGAAGGAATTTTTTTTTTTTTTTTAATTTTAGTTTGCCAATATTTTTTTTAAATATTGTGATTTTCGGGAAAATTTTGGTTTATCTTGGTTCCTATGTTTTGTGAGGTCAGTTTTAGTGAAACTTCAATCTTGATCAAGATTTATTGCAAGGCTCCATTAATGCATTCACAATATATATGGAGGAAACAATGAGAAGCTGCAGTGGATAGGTTAAGCATGCCGAAAAAGCTTAAATATAAAAAATATGCTGTACGCGGCAAAGTGCTCAGGTGGCTAAGTTGTCATTATCCAGAATCCCAGAATGACCGAACCGAGCGTGAGCAGATGATGTGCGGGCAAGGAGGGAAGCACGCACAAAACCTTTGAAAGTCGTTAGACTTTCATGACTAAGCGAATGATTTTTCATTGCAGGTACACCTCGGTGGCAAGATAAAGCTTTCGAAGCTAAAGATTGATGATTTAGTAGACAGACTCCCTCCCAAACGATATGTGAAAGATTTGTGCAGGTGTATTTATACTCACGAAGAGATGTGCGCGAGAAGTGTGACCGGTGCCCCCTGCCGGAGTCAATTGAAGGATGGGGCAAAGGGGAAGCTGCCGGTAACCCCAATGAAACTGCTGGCCCTTGCAAGTAAGTGAGAAAGCTTGTCCTTGAACAGCTCATGCAAAGGCGACTGAAGATGCTCCGCAAGATTTGAAATTTGTTTAAAATATTTTTTTGAAATAATTAAGTACAAGCATGACACTGCTAATGCAAGCAACAGATTACCATATTTTAATTTTTTTTCCTAGGAATTGGGGCTTTGCCCATCATTCTGCTAACGCAAAAAAAGAAAAAAGGATTGCCATAATTTTTTTTAATGAATTTGTGATTTGTGATTGTCATACTGGCATGGTAAAAGGAGCTAATTTGGAGAACTAACCTAAGTGGTAAAGTTTTCTGCCCATCATTCTGCTTTTAACTTAATGGAAAAAGCTGCTGATTCGGTGTTCTCGCTAACAGGGTCATGCAATGTAGTGCATGCACGGTAGTAGATGATTTACAGAAATGGAAGGATTATTTCCATGTCTTGATTATTACGGTATCTCTACTTCCTGGAGATTTCTTATAATTTTAATTTTATACCATTTTTGGTATCCTTTTGAGTTACTTTGCAATTTAAGCGAGTTCAATGAAATACAGTAGAATTGGTTGACGAGATTTTTTAGGGAAAAGTGACAGCCAATTAAGCGTTGGGAGGCTTATAAATGAGAGGAAGCAATTATGACTGCAGCTGGTTTCAGATAGAATTTCACAGCCTTGGTGAAGTTTATGGTTATTGCAATATTTGCCGAGTGTTTGTTTTTCAGAAATGTTATTTAAAGTTAGCAATTAATTTTCAGTTGCAACTTACACATGGCAGCTTTTAATAGTGAGCAAAACTTTAGAGACCATTGAGCTGACCCAGATGTTGACCCCCGTCAAGTACTGCTCCTGGCACATGAGTGCAGAGTAGTGAAGCTCCACATGCATGCTAGTATGAGGGGAACTGTACACTGTGCTTCTGCTTGGTTAAAAAGTTGGGATCACAAGAAAAGTTAAACCAGTAATAGGATGGGAAAGCAAGCAAAACTGAGCGCAGCAGTAAAAAGCTTGCATCGAGCGTCATGGCATAGTCAGTGCAAAGAGGTGAGAAAAGGGGCAGCAGAGCAGAATAAGGGGCAGCAATGATCCAACACATCAAATCGACCGCATAATATTGTACATTTTACTTTAGGGAAAGCAAACAGATTAAATAGAAATTGATACACCTATCACTACGGGAGTTTGGGATCAGTGTTAATTAACATAAAACTGAAACAATGTGTCAATCACTTCCACTATTGCACTTGTGCGATAGGGGAGGGAAGCAGGTAGTGTTTTGACATTGGCCTTTTCACCGACCTCTCTGAAATTTTATTATGTTATGACCTCACCCACAGCTCACTGTCCTTGCCCTTTTGTTTGTATAAGTTATATTTCTGTCGCTCTTGGATCATACTTCCTGAAAAGTAAAACACAAAGTTCTTAATAATTTTGGTAGTTTGAAACACTTGTATGCAGAAAAACTGTACGGTGAACGTGACATACGCACTGTCTTCAGAAACGTTTGATGAGCCAACAAGAGGAAATCTTGGAGCTTACTTTATTTGACTAAAGCACCTCAAAAAGCAGGTGAAAGGGATGGACAGGACCAAGCGCTAACTTATAACAACACAAACATGTTCAATTGTAAGGTAGCACTCCGTGCTGTCCATCCTTCTCTTGTGTCCACGCTTTTTAGGCGCTTTTCCATTCAAATCATGCACTAATTAACTAGCCCACCTAGCCATTTTATTGCTTGTTTTATTGCCCATCTAACACACATCTATTTAAAATTTCCCCAGATGGTCTCATGTACTACGAGGGAGCCAAACCCACCGAAGCTCGGCACACGGGCCCCGAACTTCAGAAGATTGTGCGGGAGGTTTTAAAGGAGTTCCTGCCCGACAACGCAAGACAAGGCACAAGAAGGAGGGAACCACCGGCACCCAAAGAATAAATGTGCATGCTTGGGTGAAACAGCACACAAGATTTACACCCAAGCCTCCATCCTCTCAATAAATGTTCCTCGAGGCATTTAGGCATAACTTGTTTACCTGTGTATTTATTTCAGCTGGTTGAATGGCTAAACTGGTTTGTTCAGCCAATTCCCTCAGCATGACAAATCATTGCACCATCTGGTCATGCTAGGTGATCTACCCAGTGTGACCAGATCACCCACCATGACCAGATCAACCAGCATGACCAGCATGCCAAGCTGGGACCAGCTTGCCAAGCTGGGACCAGCTTGCCAAGCTGGGACCAGCTTGCCAAGCTGGTCCCAGCATGACCAGATTAACCACCATGCCAAGCTGGGCATGCTGGGGCAATAACCCAGCTTGAAGCTGGGACCAGCTTAACCAGCTTAAGCTGGTTTTTTCAATAGGGGGCCGCATTAACAAATTTGCGCCTCTCCACAAAAGAACAATACGTAGGAAGAGTCCGCGGATAAGTAGAGAAATACTGCAGTTAAAACGTCAAGTTAAGCGTACGTGTAAAAAAAAAAAAGCAAAAGTGCCTGTTTTATCGCTTAAAAGACGGCTGCGGTCGATGATACAAAATGCCAGATACCGCCTTTTCAATGTGATGATAATCAACTTTTTACGAAGTGACCCTCAGGAATTTTGGCGCTATCTATATCATGGGAAACGTACCGTAAAAAAATATAAAGATAAACGACAGGGAAATTTCTGATAATTACTCTATCTCGAAGGCATTAAATGATTATTTTAGTTCGGTATTTACCAAACACGATAGTAGTATCAATGCACTTCAACCTAACCAGCTGACCGTCCCTGATGTTGCCTTGTCTGAGGCAGGCTTACTTGAGGCGCTCCTATCGTTAAATGCCAAGAAAGCGGGCGGGTTAGACGGTATACGAGAAATCATTTTATATCGCTATGCGGAGTGGTGCACAAACTTTCTACTAATACTATACGACCGTAGCCTAAACCAAGGAAGACTTCCCCAGAATGGAAGACAGCGAAAGTTGTTCCAGTTTACAAGTCCGGAGACATACTAAGTGTTACAAACTATCGCCCAATCTCCCTACTTTGGTAAAGTGGGAAGATACTGGAACATTTCCTTTTTAAACACCTATCTTTGCACCTCGAGGACAATGTTTTTTTTTGTGCTTTTTTTTTGTGTGAAGAACAGCACGGCTTTCGTCGAGGCCTATCGACAGTGACTTAGCTGTTTCGTACTGTAAATGAATTTGCAACGCTTATGGATAGAGGGAGACAAACTGGCGTCCTTTTTTTAGACTTTGCAAAAGCAGTTGATTGTGTCTCGCATCCAAAGCTGCTTTACAAATTAAGACAGTTGCTTAAGAATGAAAAGCTTCTACGATGGTTGGACTCTTACTTATCTCAAAGTCAACAATTTGCTTACATCGACGATGTTCCGTCCCCCAAAGTTCCAGTTTTATCAGGAGTGCCGCAAGGATCTGTACTTGGCCCATTGCTACTTTTGGTATTCATAAATGACCTGACAACATGTCTGCCTATTCAGTGCTGACTTTTCGCTGACGACTGTGTCCTGTTTTCAGAGATCGGTAGTGTTGAAAACCAAGAAATACTTAACAACTCTCTTGCTTCTATTTATGACTGGTGTTGCAACTGGCAAATGCCACTGAAATGCAAAAAGGGTGCGCAGATCACTATTGCCGAAAAAAAAACCTAGGCTTTTTTATATTCCTTGAATGGTGTTCCCTTTGAAGTACTTAGAGAATGCAGGTACTTTGGTATTGTCATTGCGTCAGATCTAACCTGGAACGCGCACGCAAACTACATAGCTGCCAGAGCGTCGCAGAAACTCTGGTTTATTAAGAAGAAAACTAACCTACTGTACACCCAAAACAAAGTTAACAGCATACACAACTTTAATTAGGTCAATACTAGAATACGCTGACTTGGTATGGGACCCACACACAGTAAAAACATACAGCAACTAGAACGAATTCAGACCAAAGCATTGCGTTTTGTTTATTACCGTTACGACAGGCTGACTTCCGTCTCTCAACTGTATGCACCGTCAAGCATACCCGAACTCAAAACACGCAGGAAATTTAATCGCCTTAAGTTTCATTATAACATAGTCAATAGCAATGTTGAACTTCCATTCGAAATATACATGGAATACAATACATCCAGACAGATACACAAGAAACACGAGAAAACCATTATAGTGCCAGAATCTAAAAAGAACTTTTTTAAATACTCCTTCGTACAGCGCATTGTTCATGGGTCCAATAAATTATATTTAGCCGTTATTAATCGGCTCACATCTCCTTGTTTTGTCACGGCAGTTACTAATCAGTTATTGCCATAGAATAAGTGTGCTTTTTGTGTCTCGAATATCCTCGAGTGTTGCTGGGGTTTTTCTTCATTATTTGTAGGCTCGTGTCACTTTGCGTTATATTGCCGATTGTTGTTATGTTATTTTTTGTGTCTACATTGTACAGTGCACTACATTGTACAGTGCACTACATTGTACAGTGTTATGTTATTCTTTGTATGTCTGCATTGTACAATGCACTTTTGAAATCCTGTCTCCCGGACGGTGTTCCACGGACTGAGACCCAGTGGCCAGACAAATCCCTTAAGTAAGGCACGCCCCCTAGCGGCGGTCCCTACCCGACCCACGGGAAATTGTGCGGTTGAGTCGGGAGGGACCGTCTGCTGGGTTGCAGTCCGTCGAAATCCAGCAAATCCAGGATTCTGTACTACACAAAAGCAAGGTAGCCACAAGGGCTTCGACAATAGAAAAGGAGCGACCGCGGCCGCGCGTCAGAGCTCGAACAACTGCTTGGTTGTCGCATCTGAGCAGTGTCCGGGTTGGAGCAACTAAAAGGGCACATAGGACAGCCCACAACTCTGGGCAATAAATGCTCCTGGGAGTGCTTGTGAGGATCGTCATGTTGCCTGCCGGGAGGCAAAGTCCTAGTCCGGTGTTGCTTGCGTCTGCGAAGACCTCTTGACGCACCGACAGGGGGACAAACGGCATGGTCGTCGGAAGATGTAGCAAAACGAAAGAAAAAAGTTGAGTCCACTCCATCGAAACTGGGCAGCCCGTAGCTCCGGCAAGGTGAAGCGGGTGTAGTACATCATAGTGGCACCCAAATAAAGAAAAGTAAAAAGTCCACAAACCAGCAAGACGCTGCTAAGCTTTCACACTTTGAGGCTGGCGCAGAACCTGGAGGTTCTTCAAAAGGTCCCGATAACGGGACGGCGTGTGGGCGATGGTGTGATCGGCGCCGTTGAGCAAAATCCCCAAAAAACAATGGAGTGGGTAGGTGAAAACTGGGAGTCCGTAGGGTTCACACGGAAGCCACAGCGATCAAGATCATCCAGGAAGCGGCACGTTTGCTCTTCAAGAAAAGAGGGGGAGGAATGCGCGCAAAACAGGTTATCTAAGTGGGCCCAGGCCCAAAGGCCGCGGGCACGGGCTTCCCGAGCCAGCGCCGTAGCCAAACCCTGCATAAAAAACGGCGCAAGCCGTATGCCGGAAGGGAGGACTTTATAGCGAAAGTATTGTCCATCCAGGCGTATGATGGTAAGGGTTCTCGTCTTGGGATGGAGGCCGAAGTGATAAAAAGCATCCCTCAAGTCTACTTTAGTAAAGTAGGGCCGCCCGGGTAAGGGGCAGATCTGGAGGGCCTTCGGGAGGGGTGGTAGTAGGAACTTCGGGCTCGGCAGGTGGGGGGTCAAGTGAGAACAATCCAGAACGAATCTGGAGGCCTTAGAAGACTTCGGCACGAGCTGCACAGGTGAAAGGTAGGGTCCCCTTTTTGTGGTTTCTAGAATGTCCGCTTAGAGCATCGACTGCACTGCTGCTCGGAGGTGGGGCAACTGGGACGTCGCTGGGGCCCGTGCCTTACAGACGGAAGAGGTTCGCACAAAAAAGTTAAACGCGGCTGGGTTGAACGGTGGTGCGTAGCCAAAGAGAATTTGAGTTATATCCCAGTTGACCGTGGGCGGTTTTTTACTGGGTCGGACCGGCATGTGCGGAGGTTCGGGGAGGAAGGCTGCCGGACGTCGGCTGTCGGTCGACTCATCATCGTTCTCGGAGTCGTCCGGCGGTGGAAAAGGTTGGTAGACAGCTAGCCAACGAAGGATGCGGGGAGCCGTGTCCGCAAGGCTGTCCTTCCCGCCATTAGAGTCCGAGTCCACGCCGGAGTCGGGGGAAGCCCCCGGGACCGGCGCATCCGAGGAATCCTCCGCCTCCTCCCCAGAGTCTGAAGGAGTATCAAGGGAGGAGGGGGAGGGCCCACGAGCCTCGGCCCCGGCGGACGGCCCCGAAACCGGCGCGAAAGGGGACGAGAAAGCGGGAAGGCCGGCCTCCCGGACCGCCTGCGCCAGGAGATCGTCCGGAAGGAGGAGATCCTGGAGAAGCACTAGGGTTGCCACACCGTCCACCGCAGTGCAGACCGGCCGGCCGGGCGGATCCGAGAACGATGTCAAGAGCACGAGGGATGTCCACGGGGGCCTCCAACGCGTGCAAAAGGGCAAGGCACTCTGGTGGACAAACAAAGTCCTGGGGCAAAAAGGAGAGCTCGCGGGATGGGCTGGCGCGGGGAACGCCCGGGGCAGCCGAAACCAGGAGGTCCATTGGTAGTTCTGGCGGAGCAGGTCGGTGGGTGATGATGATTAGGCGTTTATTGGCGCAGCAGCAACGAGGGCCATAATGCGCTAAACTTAATGTATTTAGAGCATATTATAACAAAAGTTTACTTTGAGGCTACATATTTACAAATGGTATAAATATCCACTTTGTTTTAAAAAGTCTAAGACACGGCTGAATGGAACTAAAGGTTTATCACCAAGCAAAAAAGAGGGATGAAATGGGAGATGATCCCTAAAAAGTTCGAGAAAACAAGATTGACGGAGTGGTTGATGGGACGAACAATGCCACAAAATGTGCAACACGGTCAGAAGCTCTCCACAATGTTCACATAGTGCAACATCCTCACCACGAAGCAGATACTGATGTGTCACGTGGGAGTAACCAATTCTTAGACGGCACAGAAGAACCTCCACACGACGTTCCC